ACACCCTTTGCATCCCAGAATACAGTGGCCATAACTTTCTTCACTGATCTTTAAGACTTGAATTTCTTTGGTGCCGGAGAAGTGGGATGGTGTCATTCCCTGGATTGACGTTTTGACACGAGATGGTAGACCCATGTTTCATAACCGTTACTAATTTTTTTTTTAATTTGACGAAATCCTGATCAATTAGCTGTAAATTTTCTCTGACGATGCCAGTTCGCTCGGCATTCAAGGGCTAAATCAAAGACTGGTCGGTTCGGAGTCAGTATACTGTGTCTAAGTGGGGTATCCATGTTAAACTGCGGCATGATATCTCAGTGTGCTAGCACTGTAAATCGGCATCAGTCCGGACCAGTACAAGCAGCCAGACACACACATGCACGCGCATGCACGTCGCTATATAAGCGCAATAATCTTGGACGCGACGTTAAACCCAATTTCACCTCACCTCACCCATTTATACCCCTATCACGTTCAACTGGCTGTCACAAACGGCCTCAGCAGACCAAATACACTTGCAATGAACTACTCAAAGAATGCACTACATTGACTAGTTCACTTCGTTATGGCCCATAGTTAAAAGTTAGTCAGGCTTAGAACTTTTGTACCAGCCCTTGTCTCAGCAGTAAGTAAGTAAGTGAGTTGGGTTTAACGCCGCTTTAAACAGTATTCTAGTTATATCGCTGCGTGTCAGCTTAATGTGGGAGGAAAGCCCGAAGTGATGTAGGTCTTAGACATTTATCACTTTGGTGAAACCCTCGAGCACGGGTATGGTGCTGACAAACCTAGAAACATAATCGGGGCGAACCGGGATTCGAACCCACAATCATAGGTTTCTGTAACTCTGCACAGCGAATCGCGGCGCCTTAGACGACTGGTCCACCCCTGCCCCCTCCTCAGCAGTATAGAAGCTTACAGAAAATAGTCACTGAAAGCAAAGTGACAATATTGAGCAAGGGCTCTACAATAACCTCCAATGTATCAATGCTCAGTAAGGTTTAGGAAAGGGTCTCGTTCAATTTGTTAACTGTATATATTGATATAGAGAGAATACATCCTTACCTACTATCTATGTCCGCGTCCAATAAAGTCCCACCACCAGACTGGGTTCTCGACATTGCGTTTGTTCGATGAAGCGGAGAGACAAGGAGCATTCGGCGACATCTATTTCCTATCGTTAGGATAATTGTCAAATGCATCGAATGCGGATATTCCCTATACAATTTAAGTACGTGTCTTCACATCCTGTTAAGTGATGACAGACAAGTTAAGCGAATCATTATTAAGAAAACGTGACTAGCCAATTCAGAATTCTCGGGTTCTGGATGAACGTATATGATCAGTGCAGACTAACTGACTATCGTGTAATAGTTCCGGGTCATATAGTGCATGCGAAATAATTGAAAGATATACTCAAAGGAAGACATAAAGCTGATAAATGTAACGTAGGTTCATTTTAAATTAAAGCACAACAATTTAAAAAATCGCCTCTATTTCCTTGAAGGTTTAATTATTCTATATGCTTATAATTACCTTGCCTGGATTTCTAAAGATCTCTATATCTATTAAATTTCAAATTTAACTCCTAAAGTTATGATTCACCACATGGGTACAATGTGTGAAGCCCATTTCTGGTGTCCCTCGTCGTGATATTGCTGGAATATTGCTAAAAGAGGCGTAAAACCATACTCACTCACTCACTCACTCATGTTTAGTGAAAAAGTAAGTGATGTTCCTCAACCTGAAACAAATACTTGCAGATTGAAAGTGAGGCGAGGTGGGGTTTGAGGTTTAACGTCGCGTTCAAGTATATTCCGGTTTTATAAAGCTAGCGTACTTAGATACCATGTTACAGTTAAACACGGATACCCCACTCAGACACAGTATACTGACTTCGAATAGGCCAGTCCTTGTTTTATCTCCAAAAAGACGGAGGGCACGGGGCACGGTCTAAGGCGCCGCGATTCGCTGTGAAGAGTTGCGTCCCTTGGGCACACCAGAAACCTATGATTGTGGGTTCGAATCCCGGTTCCCCCGATTATGTTTCTAGGTTTGTCAGCACCATACCCGTGCTCATGGGTTTCACCGAAGTGGTAAACGTCTGAGACTTGCATCACTTCGGGCTTTCCTCCCACATTATTCTGACAAACCGCGATATAACTGTAATTCTGTTAAAAGCGGCGTTAAACCCAACTCACTCACCCACTCCAAAAAGACGAGCACAAGGCAGGGTAGCAACAGCAAGTTCTATCCTAAATGTATTTTGGTATGACGCGGATAGAGGATCGAACAACCGAAATTCCGCTCTTCGGGCACGCGCTCTCTCCACTACGGCACGGAGGCGGTCGTCCGAAAGGAAATAGAAAAGGCAGTCAGCCTTTTTACCCCACGCGTATTAAAACTGTACCACTTCACCCTGTTCAGGCTTCGTGAGAGGTTTACTGTGCACACAGACCATTGAAATTCCGTTTCTTTTGCTTTTCAACCTTGAGTGAGTGAGTCAGTTGGGTTTAACAGTATTCCAGTTTATATATCACGGCGTGTCAGCTTGATGTGGGAGGAAAGCCCAAAGTGATGCAGGTCACAGACGTTTACGACCCGTGAAAATCCGGGGTAGAATAGGTCTTCAGCAACCCATGCTTGCCGTAAAAGGCGACTATGCTTGTCGTAAACGGCGACTAACGGGATCGGGTGGTCAGGCTCGCTGACTTGGTTGATGAATGTAATCGTATCCCAATTGAGTGGATCGATGCTCATGATGTCAATCACTGGATTGTCTGGTCCAGACTCGAGTATTTATAACCGCCGTCATATAGCTGGAATAATGTTGAGTGCAACGTTAAACAACAAACAAAGAAACACAGACGTTTACCACTTTCGTGAAACCCACGAGCAAGGGAATGGTGCTGACAAACCTAGAAACATTCGGGGCGAACCGGGATTCGAACCCACAAACATAGGTTTCTGGCGTGCCCAAGGCACGCAACGCTGCACACCGAATTGCGGCGCCTTAGACGACTGGGCCACCCGTGACCACTCAACATACCTTGAACAATCATCCTCACTTTAATCCTCAGAATCATCACGTGTATTGTGTTCATATGTGTTCAATGAGTAATTACGTGTGGTCCATTCGACTTTCAAAATGAACTGTTTAAGTTAAATTAGGACACATGAAACATATATACTGACCAAAAACGTTGGAATCATAAATAGTTTTACGCAAATGTTTTAGTTGTGAAGGCCGAGTTTATTTACATGTGTACGGTATATACAAATATTTCAACACCCTAACGTTGTGCTCAGTGAAGAATGAGTCAGGCCTACACCGGTCTCCCAGGCATAGGGTTTATGTATTACCTCAAGGAAGTGTAACAACCCCCCCCCCCCCCCGACACACACACACACACACACCTCACTCCAACACCACAACAACTCCACCACCACCCAACCTCTGTCTAAATCACAGCACCAATCAATACTAATATTTAGTGCACATTAACTATACCATTAACTGTACCACTAACTTAAAAAGAAACGCTTTTGTGTGATATCGAGTTTCAATTCATTTTTATAAGACCCCGGGCCTTTGATAAACCGTTTGTTGGTCATGGGAGGTGAAGGTCTGTGTTCAAACCCCAACATGGGTATAATTTTGTAAACCTATTTCTGATGTTCCTCGTCGTTCTGTTGCTTGAATGTTGCTGACAGCGGCGAAAAACCATACCCATTCACGTGCATGCACGCCGCTACCTAAGTGCAATAATCCCAAAACGCGACTTTGAACCCAATTTCACCTTATGTTATCTTCTAAAAAATCATAAAATAGTCATGACATACATACAGTGTTAATGTTTGTTTGTTTGTTTGTTTGTTTCTTGTTTTACGCCGCACTCAGCAATATTCCAGTTGTATGACGGCGGTCTGTAAATAATCGAGTCTGGACCACACAAGCCAATGATTGATATCATTAGCATCGATCGTATCATTGGGATACGATGCTATGGATTAATCAAGTAAGCAAGCCTGACCACCCGATCCCGTTAGTCGCCTCTTACGCCTCAAACACGACTCGGGGTAATCGGATGATATGAATCATATCAATTGTCATGGACACGAATTAGGCTGAAATCTTCAGCTAAATGGCGGCGGTCTGTAAATAATCGAGTTTGGACCAGTGATTGACACAATGGACATACATCTATACAATTGGGATACGATGACATGCATCAACCAAGTCAGCGATCCTTGGCCACCGATCCTTTGTAAAATCAGTGTGGATGGATTTCCATCAAATCAATTAGTAGCATCGAGCAAACTTCATAGGCAATAAAAGCTGGCCAGAAGTAACATGATTACTTCAACATGTTTATAAGGGACGAACCAGAAAGCATTTCTGCTTGTAATTGCTTGTCAAACTGTCACATATAGATGATAAATGTACACTCGTGTCACACGCAACATAATAAATAATATTTATCTAACATATAGGTCAAACACTGATTTAATATTAAATACATTAATCATAAATGAATTGCGTGTCCACACGGCACGGCAAATTATCACGTTTATGAAAATATATGGAAAATAAACCCAAAATAACTAAAGCTTCAATCGTGTGAAAATATGTATATAATTAATTCATCATTAATGTCATTCTTATTCTTAAATCGTCTATTTAGCAATATGACAACACGTTACAAAGCGTTATGAACATGCACCAAAACAGTAAACGATGATGACACCTGTCGCGTTATAACGAGTATGCAACGCATGAAACCCATTTGACTTTATAACGCACCTCCTGTGTGAAGACGCCTTGTACAAACAAACGCTCCCCTTTCAACAATACCTACTTATATATGATAAACCTCTGTACGAGGATCGTCAAAATATCTACTCTAGTTTTCTAACGGGCATATTATATTAATAATGTCTATCACTGCGCACTGTAGATTAAAGTTGAAAGACAAACAGCGAGACTTATCACTGATACTCACAATTTCCCGTGCGAATATGTTGTGAAACCACTATCTCCGCACTATTAGCCGTTAGTGCACGAGGCGCGCGGGCAAATTGTGGTCGCGTCCTCGATTGTTTACAAATGCAGTTCCCGCAACACGTGCAATAACCGTCCAATGGCGGCCTGTCGTGTGTGTGCAGCTACCAAGAGATTGTCGGCGCCACACACACAGCTTATCAAATTGACCCTATTGGCGAGGCAAAATTGTTGTCTGTCGTAATGATTTCTAAATTCGTCGACAAACAGTTTCTACCGTATATGATTAAATGACGGTGGCGGCTAAATGAGACAATACCCAATTTGTGAAGTAGCGGTCTCATACACATCCAAATATGGAAAGAACACCACAACAATAGACACGTCGAGATCTGGGCCGTTGTAACCTTTACGAAAATACTTCCTCTGAACAAGAATGTTCACGGAGTTCTTAAATAGGAGAGACAGTTAAGTTGCGTTGCTTTAAATAATTAGGACCGGAAAAGGAACAGTTTTCAGTACACTGTATTTTGATATTCAGACAATCCAGATTATTTAGAGATTCTTTTGACAGCTGGAAAGGTCTATACTGAGATATATTTTTGTAGTTGAAATAAAACACTTCCTACTGTATAACTGGGCCCACAGCTGACGGATGCTTTTGTTCCCGATTGATATATAGACCATGACACAGGGACGCCAAATAAATCATTCAGAACAATTTACATATGTTTGTAACTTCCCAGTGCATTATGTCTCTCTCACTTTAAACTGATCGTTAAATCCAATATCATTTAAATAGTAGATATTCTGTAGATGTTACATACAGTCGTAGCTGGAGAAAAATAACATCTTGGGGATTGTTATAAATGAGAGAGGTTCATCTCAAAATATATTAAAGCGTTAAATTTGTAATTAGTTCCGCTTAGTCTGTTAAATAATTCTACTCCTTACAGAAAAAAAACGTGGATTACGTCAATGGGGGAGAACTTCCCGAGTCAAGGGAGTTTTATAACCCACTATGAAAGTTGAAAACAAAAGAAACGTGACTTTTACAGTCAGTAAACGCTCTTGCCTTGGGAAGATGATGGGGGAGGGGGTAGACAAAATTAAAAAGGGCCTGTTAAACTGATTCTTTTACAAATGCCTCGCACTGTTAAAAAACAACAAATAATGTGCCCTTTTCTGCCAGACGATATTAAAGTGTCCCAGAAAATAGTTTGTTATTTTAAAAAAAACGTTCATGAGCACCTGTAAATGTTGGAAGCATAACAAACCGAATTAACACACTCGTGTGAAGACCTGGGTTAGAATAGGTATCCTGGAACCCATGCTTGTCGTAAGGGGTGACTATGCTTGTCGTAAGGGATGACTATGCTTGTCGTAAGGGGTGACTATGTTTGTCGTAAGGGGTGACTATGCTTGTCGTAAGGGGTGACTATGTTTGTCGTAAGGGGTGACTATGCTTGTCGTAAGGGGTGACTATGCTTGTCGTAAGGGGTGACTATGCTTGTCGTAAGGGGTGACTATGCTTGTCGTAAGGGATGACTATGCTTGTCGTAAGGGGTGACTATGTTTGTCGTAAGGGGTGACTATTTTTGTTGAAAGGGGTGACTATGTTTGTCGTAAGGTATGACTATGTTTGTCGTAAGGGGTGACTATGTTTGTCGTAACGGGTGACTATGTTTGTCGTAACGGGTGACTATGTTTGTCGTAACGGGTGACTACATGTATGTTTGTTGAAAGGGGTGACTATGTTTGTCGTAAGGGGTGACTATGTTTGTCGTAAGCATCTTCGCGAATCAAGGGAGTTAACTGACTGTAAAAGTCCCGTTTCCAGCCTTGCCAAATTAGGCCTGCATTTCTGGGTTCGATCGTAGCGTGTTATGTCTCTGCTATTGACCAATCTCCTATTTATTCCACCTCTGATAACACTCGCATTTGCTTCAAACAAAATGGCGGCGCCCAGTGAAGATGATCTGATCGATAATCAAGATCTATATTATAATAAAACGGATCTAATTTCTATTTAAAACAAAAACATGAAAAGATTTGGAAACTATCTGTTGACGCTAAGTTGACGGTACACATGTTTTGCAAATCCTGCAATCGACGGAAATCTGCACGGCAGTTTACGAACCGGATGTTGATTTCATTACGCGATTTTGATTGGACTATGCATAGACTCGTTAGTTCTGCCAAACTGTAACTCCATAATTCCAGCCAAGGATGGAAACTGGACTTTTATTGTCAGTTAGATCCCTTGCCTCGGGAAGATGGTCGTAAGAGGCGACCAACGGAAAAGGGGTCAGGCTCGCTGACTTGATTGATACATGTCATCGTATCCCAATTGCGTGGATCGATGCTCATGATGTCAAGCACTGGATTGTCTGGTCCAGACTCGATTATTTACAGACCGCCGTCATATAGCTCGAATATTACCGAGTGCGGCGTTTAACAAACAAACAAACACGCAAACAATCCAAACCAAACCAAAACATTATTGATATATTTAACCAAACTTTACTGAAATATTTACGTATCATGTTTCCAAAAGTTAAATGCACAAATTACAAAACAATGCACCCCATAACATTATTACGCACTAGTCAAGAAGCGTATATTCAATATGGCTGCCGTGTCGGCCTTTGCTGTTACTGGATTGAAATTACACTGCCGAGCAAAAGAAAGTAGACACTTGAAAATAAGATTCGACCAAACGTTATCAAAACATTACAAAGCAGAAAACAGTTCCTGAAACACTGCACACTTCAGGTCCAAAACATAACTATGATACCCGTATCAAATACATCACCATCGAATAACAATTTCCTCTTGGTTCATTTTTATCCCATTTTTAATCGTAGTATATTTGTTAGTTTTTATTGATAGCTACAATTGACTTTAATCACCAGCGGCTGAAGGCATGGTGTTAATCCTGCTGGGGAGCCGTGAAGGAAGCAGAAGTATTGTAAGTCCCCACGGTCCCCAGTATGCTGGCCATACTTTGGTTGCTGGCCATCCCTAGCTCGTTTTTATCATGTATTGTTATGTATCGTAATAGCGTTTTATCGTTCCATACTATTTTTAAATATGTGATACCCTAGTTATTTTACTCTCCTTTAGAAAGTTTACACATATTCCGTATGTATGTTTAAATTGTTGTAGTCACGATATAGCTGAAATACTGCCGATTTGACTGTAAATTTTAACTCACTCACTCACTCACTCATTTTTATCCACCATCAAGCATGGGTGTCTACTTTGATCTGCACGGTAGTTTATGTGAGTACATGCTTAACATGCAGCACGAACATGCAAGCACCACTGATTTCGCGGTATGAACTGATCGCACTTGAAGACTTTTGTACACTTGTAAATGATTGATCTGTTATATTTTTTATCAAAGTTTCCGGAGTCGGCTTAGGTTCCTCGTACAGCAAACAGAAAGGAATACTGCCTGATTGTAGACCAATTGTCTAATGTCATTTCGTGAATTAAGGAATCCCATCAAAATCGAGAGGGAAACACTTGGCAGTCTTCAGTGTTTTCCACATCTGGTGCAAATGTCACCGGTTATTGGAAAAGCTATTTCAGATAATCGCATTAACTCCGTACTATGCCGGGCGCGGATCCAGAGGGGCTTTGAGTTGGGTTGGTTGTGGTGGGGTGTGGTGGGGTGGGGTGGGTTGTGGTGGGTTGTGGTGGGTTGGGGTTTGGTGTGGTGGGTGTGTACAAAATATAGGTAAATCACGTGGGGTCTATTTTCACCGAAATAACACCTAAATGATAGACTTTGGGCTATCAAACGCAAATAGCTGTATCTGCGCATGTTTCCTCTATCTCTATGTTTGAAAAGGTGAAATATTAGTGTTAATATTAGTGCAAAGCATCGGATTCGATTATTTACAGACCGCCGTCACATAGCTGGACTATTGCTGAGTGCGGCGTAAAACAACAAACGACTGTGACACCCATGTAAGCTAACAAGAAAACAATTTTACACTCCGTAAGTGACACCACAAGCATCCATTTCTCTCGAATATTTTACTTCATAAAGATACCGATGATTTTCAGAATATTAATGTAGTCAGAAGATATAGGACTCGCATATTTCTCAACTGTATAAAGGGTAGATTAAAGACTGCTAAAATAATCATTTCTGGAACATTTATATCTGGCGCATGCCAGCAAGTCATGGTACTCACGTGTTTTATACCATCACCGTGGCACTTGTTGTTTCTGCGCCCCGCTATTCAGTATGACGCTGTATAATGAGGGAAACGCTCCTTCAAGCAAACTGAAATGCATGTTACCGGGAAGCGAGGGCTCTCGTCCCATATATTGACCCTAGATATGGCCCGACATAGAAACACTATGTCAGATCATTCAGTCGAAGTGTTCCTAGATATGCCGTAATTAACTGGGACGTCTTTATCGGCGACAGTCGGGACATATGATGAATCATAACAGTAAATTGAAAAAACCTGTCAAATGATTGTTTTTGTCATCGAACACTATTTCGAGGCAATGGATTGTACTAGGTTTGGTCTCTTATGCGTCGTTACTGGTATCCAATTTTAAAAGAAAACAAATATTAAAACAGTTACTACAAAAACACCCACTAATACATCAATCAATACACCATTGTAGATCAACGCCAATCCCCCGACATCCATCCCCACCCAGCTCACACACACCCCCTATAATCCGCACCCCCAGCCCCACCAACCCCACACACAACCCCCCCCCCCCCCCCCCCACACACACACACACACAACACACACCCCACCCCCACCCCCAGCCCCACAGTCCCACCCAATCTCCACCCTTCCCACCCAGCCCCAAATCACCTACCGTCCTTCGTATACGTCACAGTGTTCAGTGCTGAAAGCTGATATCCAACGTTGACTTCATAAAACACAGCAAGCAACACACACGTTAACCATCACTTCGTGGATGTATTGATATCACTGCACGCCAGTAGTGTTTTTGTTTACGTCAAAGGAGTGTGCAGGAGTAAGTTACGAATGGGTTTATCAGTGCTATCTGAGTGGAGCCTGCTGAACATGCCAATAATATATATATTCTATAAATGACATGTAGATTACATCTTTGCACTGAGAGCAATACGTACGGACCTCAGGTTCGTGGCAACGGAGTCAGTGATTGAGAGGTTTTAATTAAAAAACTACCACGAACGGCGCAAATCGCTAATTGC